CAGAAGATGAAGACTACAAAGCCAGTCTGGGCTACATAGTGAGACCATCTCAAAACAGAACAACAAAAACAGAAAAATAAAGCCAAGCAGCTGATGGGTACAGAATGGATTTAGCTCCATTTGGGGGATAAGAGATATATACTAGGTAACTAAATCTATTTAGGGATATTCTAAAACTGTAGTTGGTATCAGGGCAACTACCTCTATAGTGGCGACACTTGAGAGAACACTGTGATAAAGGGCCATGGTGCCAGGTCAAGAAATGGGTTTTGCTCTTGGATGTGGGCAAGAGTGGGCTGGAGAGAACCTGGCAAGCCTCCATACCATTTCAGCAAAGATGCATCCCAGGCTCCAGATATCCACAGCTGTGGAGTAGTACTTGCAGCCTAGAAGGATTTCAGGTGCTCGGTACCACAGGGTCACCACCTGGGGAGCAAGAGGACAACAAGGTCACATCCCTCAGTTCAGCAAAACCCAGCTCTACCTCCCCGGCTCTCTTTTAACAAGGGATTTTATTATTATTTTTTAACTTTAATAATGCGTATACACGCATTGTCTATGTAGGTTTACACAACTGTGCAGTGCCCTCTGAGGCCAGAAGGAAGTGTCTGAAACTTGGGAGCTGGAGTTAAGGGTGACTACCATAAACTGCCTGACATGGGCTCTGGGAACTGAACACAGTTCACCTGCAAGAGCATCATTTGTTCTTAACTATTGAACCATCTCTCTATCCCCAGCCATGTATTCTGAACCCCCAGATTTGGGATGTTCCTGGAAAAAAATCTGAGACATTTTAAATGGCATGCCAACCAGCTTTCCTGGCTTAGTATCTAAGTCCATTATAGGTAACCTTATAGTGTGAATTCAGTGCTAAGACCCTTTGGTTAAGGGCTAGAGAGAGGCTCAGTGGTTAAGAGGGCTTGTTTATGCAGAGGACCCAGGTTAAATTCCCAACACCCATATGGCAGCTCACAACAATCTGTAACTACAGTTCCAGGGGATCAGACACTTTCTTCTGACTTCTGTGAGCACCAGGCAGGATGGTGGTACAGACATACATGCAAGCAAGACACTCATACACTTTACATAAATAAGTAAAGACCCTTGGGTTAGCCAGGCAGTGGTGGCGCACGCCTTTAATCCCAGCACTTGGGAGGCGGAGGCAGAGGCAGAGGCAGGCAGATCTCTGTGAGTTCGAGGCCAGCCTGGCCCTTTTCAAAGGACAGCTAGGATTGTTAACAGAGAAACCCTGTCTTGAAAAATCAAGAAGACAAAAAAGGCCCTTGGGTGCTCAGAGATTCCATTTACCAAGGAACTCCTGCCCTGGTATTTTGGTAATTTGTGAATACTGTTATGAACATCTCCCAAGGTTCTTAAAGAAGAAAATCACAGAGGGACTTACCTCATGAGTATAGGTACGAACAGGGACTCCAAAGGCTCTTGCTAGTCCAAAGTCTGCCAACTTGATGGACCCCTCTGCATTGATCAGCAGATTCTGGGGCTTAAGGTCCCGGTGTAGGACTCGGTGAGAATGGCAGAATGCTAGGCCCTGGAGTAGCTGGAACAGATAGCTCTGATAAAGGAGAGACGGGGGGTTTGTTCAATCGCCACAGTGAACAGACACAACTTGTTCTTTGCCCTCAAAATGAAATAAAGCCTTAACTATGTTAGAAGATAACGCCACTATTGGGGGGGGGGGTTTGTTTCATTCTTTAGATCACATTTTTATTTGTTGGGGGGAGGGGGCATGCCCCAGTGCATATGAGGAAATCGGACGGCAACTTGCAGGAGTTAGTTTTCTCGTACTGTGTGGGACCTGGGGAGTTCAGGTCATCAGGTCATCAGACTTGGAGACAGGGACCTTTACCTGCTGAGCTATCTTGTCAGCCCTGTTTGCTTTTAAGATAGTGTCTTCCTGGCCTGGAACTCTGTAGCCTAGGCTGTCCTTGTACTTACATCCTCTTGCCTCCGCCTCCTGAGTGTTAGGGTTACAAGCATGAGCTAACACACATAGCTACAACATAACCACACCTTTAATAGCTACTTCTTTCATTGGATTTTTCAGCCTGTCAAGGATAAAGACCAGATATTACTCAATTTTTGCAACCCTTTCAAAACCCTGCACCTAGCACATTGAAGGTGTTAGATAACTGTGTGCTGAATATATACCTGCTGATGCATCCATTAGCTCCAGCAGTGAACCCCGCTCTGGTTTTTCTCCCACATCACAGGTGGGAAATTTTTTTGGAGGAACCCACCAATTTCCCTCAGCGCCATTATCTGGGTGTTATCTGATCTGCCTAGGTTGACTCACAGGAGCTCAATTTTGATTCTTGTGTCCATCCTACGGTCAATGACTATAATGAGCAGGAAAAGCAACACAAATAAAGGGAAGTAGAGCCGGGCGGGGGTGGCGCACGCCTTTAATCCCAGCACTCGGGAGGCAGAGCCAGGCTGATCTCTGTGAGTTCGAGGCCAGCCTGGTCTACAGAGTGAGATCCAGGACAGGTTCCAAAGCTACACAGAGAAAACTGTCTCGGAAAACCAAAAAACCAAAAAACCCATAAATAAATAAATAAATAAATAAATAAATAAATAAATAAATAAATAAATAATAAATAAATATGTGATGGGGGTGGGGTGGGAAGTGCTAAAGTCTGAAAAAAAAAAAGCTGAAATAAATCATTACCAGCCCGAATTACCTGCCTCTAGTTTCCCCAAAATATGTGGGCTGGAATTGAAGAGGATTACCTTGATGAGGGGAAGAGGAATGCCAGTGAGGGCAGAGGCATCCATAAACTTCTTGAGGTCCTGGTGCAGAAACTCAAAAACCAGATAAAGCTTATTTTCTGTGTGGATAACATCCAGCAGCCTGCAAGAGAAGGCCCAGGAAATGGAGTTGAGGGAGAGAAATTGTGAGTCCAAGCAAACAGAAGTCATCTCGGTGACCATCTCTGACACTTACTTGACAATATTGGGGTGATTAAGTTCCTTAAGCAGAGAGATCTCTCGGATGGCAGTGCTGGGTACACCTTCAGTCTCACTTGGAGAGGTTGGGAAAACAGAGGTGAGAATATGGTCACAAACACTGCTCTCTCACGGAGATACCATCTCCCCCAAACCCCTCAGGAAGTCTGAAAGGGAGGTACTGTCAGGAGCTAATTCCTGGGTAGTCAGGGTGTGGCTTTTGGACATATTTAAGGTCAATTATTTCCTCTTTTTCCAGTGGAAGGTAAGTGGAGCCTCCAGGTGAATGTGAAGCAGAGGAAAGGTAATGAGCCGAGGGGGTTGAGAACAGCTCCCAGCCTCCCCAGAGGGCCAGTGAGTCTCAACTGCCATTCTTTTGAAAGAGGGCGAGGGTTCTAAAGTAGGGGGCTGGAGCAGCGAGGAGAGCTCCCCATTCAGAAAGGAACTATTATCCTCTTGTTCCTACATAACCCAGCTCTATGAACACTCCCCGACCCTGCCTCGGCCCTCAGCCCCGACTCTCTCTTCCCAAGCCTCTGGGCTTGCAGATCGGGGGGCACACCGGGTGGAGCTCGAGAGGAAAGTTTTCTCTGAATTCCAGCCCCGGGACAGTCTCCCGAGCGTCTACCGTCCGCCAACACACCCTCCACTTCGGAGTCCCTCCCCGCTACCTTCCGGCCCCGGACGGCTACCCGCCTGTTGGGGTTGGGGTTGGGGCTGGGGGGGGGGGGACGGACAGTCAAGAGGTCCCGGGAAAGGAGTTCCGGCTCCGGAGGCCACTCACGTGTCGAGCCGGATTTTCTTAAGCGCCACCACTTCTCCCGTCAACTTGTTTTTGGCTTTGTACACCACCCCGTACGTGCCCTCTCCGATCTTCTCCACCTTTTGGAAGTTCTCCATGGAGCGCTAGCGAGGCGGCGCAGGCCCCCGGGAGCGGGGCCCGGGAACCCTGCAGGAAACGGGCCCGACACTCGGGGCGGAGGACCTGGGGGCCCCGGTGAGCTCGGCAGCCCCAGCTCGGGATGGAACGCAAGCCGAGCTCAGCCCTTGACAATTTGTCCAACTTGAAACAATGTTGCCGCCTCCCCCCACGGCTCCAGACGGCCCGCCGAGGCCCCGCCCCTCCTTCCCGCGTTTCCCTGGCCCCGCCTCCCAGCCTCCCGATTGGTCGGCGTCACGAGGGCGGGGCGGGGCCCCGCGCTCCCGCCGCCGATTCCCCGCCCTGGGCGGGCGAACTGAGCGGGCCGCACCGCGACTTTCCCCCGGTTCCTGGTGTGGGCTCCGCCGGCCGGAACTGGTGTCGTCCCTGGTCTGCGGATTTCCTTACCTTTCGCTCACAGTTTTCACCACCCCTTAAGTGAGATTAAATCTTACCTAAGCCAAGAGAACCTCCTTTAAAAAGCAGAAACCTAGGAATCTTTAAATGTGTATATATATATTAATAATATTAATATATTAATATATAATAAATATATTATTTTCAATTATGTGCATCCGTGCGTGTCTGTGTTTAGGTTTCCACCGCAGATCGTCTGGAGCCGAAGTTAGAGGCGGTTGTGAGCCGCCACGACAGGCTTGGGCGCTGGAGCCGAACTCTGATCTTCTGCAAGAACAGCATATGCTCTTAACTGCTGAGCCGTCTCTCCAGCACTCCTACCCCCTTTTTTGAGACAGTATCTCCTAATGCAGCCCCGGCCGGCTGGAATGCGTTGAAAAAAAAAAAAAAAATCAGATTGGCTTCGAACTAGCAAAGGTCCGTCTGGCATTGCCTCCTGTGTGCCAGGGCTCTTATTGTAAAAGATTCTTAGGCTAGATAACAAAGTCGTTTCTCAGCCTAGCTTAGTCCTGTCTCACTGTTTTAGTGGTCCGTGGTCCGTTGGTTGGTTTTGTTGATTTATGGCTGGGAATCTACACTCCCAGCCCCTTGGGACTGCTTTTGAATAAAGGAGCTGTTGCTGTCTTAAGGAGCTGCGTGGTTTGACTCAATTCATGGCTTTGCTCTCTTGCTGAATCGTGACTGTGAAGTATGTGAATTGTGGCTGCCCATCCGTCAACTTTCCAGAACGATCGTGTGTGTGTCAGGATGAATGCGACCCTAGTGGAGCTGGAAACTGTCACTGATCTGTGGGACGAGAATGGAGCATCCAGGGACTGAAATCAGTTCTGGCCCTCTCCTGCTTCCCAGGTTTCCCCTCCTCTAGAGCGATGGGAGGAAGGGCTATGCAAATGAACCCCTTTCTATATAGGGGTTCATTCCCACCCCCCTGGCACCTTTGGCTGCTGAAAGGAAGAACAGGATGGGTGTGCCAACAAGACGCTCTCTCCCTCTGTTCCTGCTGGGTGCTCTGCTGGCTGTGGGGGCCATAGAAGGTAAGCGTGTGCATGGGTGGTCAGGGGCAAGTGCCATGTTGAACACCTGCTCGGGGTTTCCCCCTTCTAACAAGACATGTCAATATTTCAAGCTTGCCCTATTTGATTTGGTGAGGATATAGTTTTGTTTGCTTCATTTGTTCAAGACAAGGATAGCCTTGAACTCCTGATCCTCATGCTTCCACCTCCTAAGTACTGGGATTCCAGATATAAACCATGGCGCCCAGCTTTATATGTGAAATTTAGGATGGAGCATGGAAGTATTCCTATCTGACTCAAGGGACAAGAAGGCACAGCAGTAATTCTGAGGCCTCCTAAGACAGGCAGCTGGAACGGGGGCTCCACGGAGGTAAAATGAATGGGAGATCCTTGACATAATATCTTCAGTGCTTGTGGTAGATTTAAGGTGGAAAGAAAGAGAATGTGGTATCCAATAAGACCTAGCTGATGCCGCCTTCTGCACTTGGGTGGGTGTGGATGACTATGGCCCAGGCCTTACATTCCAGGGCTGGGAGAGACAAGCAGAAGGGTCTCAGCTGAGCATCACATGAAAGGACTCTGGGGGATTGAGGCCTCGTGACAGGAGCAAAGGGGAGGGAGCTGAGGGTGGCCAGAGGGTCTGGAATGTCCCGTGCTGCTGAGGAGGGAGGGTGGCAGTCAGAAAAGAATGGTATGTCTTATGACTGCTCTTGCTTCAGTGGTCGAACACTCTCTGAGATGACCACAGACCAACCCCCAGCAGCATCTCTGGCTTCCCCGTGGACGTTAGAATCGGGATAAGGACAATTTCTGCTATACTACAGTATATATACTATATCCTACATATCATATCATATCATATCATATCATATCATATCATATCATATCATATATCATATCATATCACAGCCTCCTTTTCTCTCTCTGGATCCCTGGTCTCACAAACTTCTAGAAAGTTCCCTGCTCTGGCTTCTTCATTTGTACTGCAATTTCCAGGGATTTTGTTTGGTTGGTTTTTCATTCCTTGGGTCCCTTGTATCCCAGACTGGCCTTGAACTCACTTCGTAGGAGATCCTTTTGATTCTCCCTCCTGGGTGCCAGAATCACAGACAGGTTTGTGCTGCCAGCCTTTTTTTTTTTTTTTTTTTTTTTCCTCTTTTGCTAAGTGCCTTAATGTATTTTGGAAATGTCCGGTTCATACCCACACCTCTGAGGCTCTTAAGGTACTGTGCTTACATTTTGAACACTGACTTTAATTATTATTTTTTTTCTACCACGTGAGTCTGGGGAATCAAACTCAGGTTGTCGGGCTAGGCAGAAAGTGTCTTTACCTAATAAGCCATCTCGCTTGCCTGAGAATTTCTTCTGAATACATAGACAAAAACACCAGCTAATAAGGATAAAGCAAATGTATCAAAATGCGGGTAGTTGTCGGATTTGGGTGAAGGGATGTGGAAGCCCATTACAGTTCTTCTCTTGTCAGATATACGTTTAGCTCTGGTCTCCCAGTGTAACCCCAGCTGTTCTGGTACTTACTATGTAGACCAGGCTGGCCTCCAACTTTGCAGTGATCTTCCTGCTTCTGTCTTCTGAGTGTTAAGATTACAGACATGAGACACTATACTCAATTTAATTATAATAATCATGTCTGCTTTGTCCACACCTCCAACCTGGGTCTACTCATTCCTCCCTCCTTTTTGCCACAGTGATCGTCTCCTTCTTCTTCTTCTTCTTCTTCTTCTTCTTCTTCTTCTTCTTCTTCTTCTTCTTCTTCTTCTTCTTCTTCTTCTTCTTCTTCTTGTTCTTCTTCTTCTTCTCTTCTCCTTCTCCTCCTCTTCCTCCTCCTTCTCCTCCTCTTCCTCCTCTTCCTCCTTCTCCTTTTCTTTTCTTTTGAGACAAAGTTGTGTAGACCAGGCTAGTCTGGAACTTTTATGTAGTTCACGCTGGCCTTAACCTCATGGTGAGTCTTTTGCCAAAGGCTCCTGAGTACGGACTGAGATTACTTTTGTGAACCACCATTTCCTGATGCCACAGTGGCCTTTTTAAAATACAAATACCACCATGTTATAAAAAAATTTTCTGTCTGGGCAGTGGTGGCGCATGCCTTTGATACCAGCACTTGGGAGGCAGAGGCAGGTGGATCGCCGTGAGTTCGAGGCCAGCCTGGGCTACAAAGTGAGTTCCAGGACAGCTAGAGCTGTTACAATGAGAAACCCTGTCTCAAAAAATCAAAAACAAACAAACAAACAGATTTAAACAAAACGAACACATACGAGTCACACAACGGCACGT